AGTCTTAGCCAACAATACATACATACAATCACCCTACACTAATAAATTTCCTTGCTAAACTGTAACTTCAGTGTTATAACTTCAGAGCATGATGTTGTATGGATTTTGATCATGTTTTAGTTGGTAGTAGACCCTTTGTCTTTAATCTGCTCAGATTTAGCAGTATCTTTCTGAGTTTCTTCGTAGGTCAATTCTTGACTGTTTCAACCATCTAGCAGATAACCCTGTAAGTAGGCAAGAAAGGCTTCTGAATGACTGAGAGCTCTATCTCATAGTCTCAGCACTTTAGTCTACAAGGGAGATAAAAATGCCCCATGGCCATGGGACCAAACAACTACCTATAAAACAAGACAATAGGTCAGAGATCAATATGAGCAAGTAGGGAAAGCAGACAAGCTCCCAGCACTCTGGACCCATCAATGGCCAGGCAACCAGCCACAGACAACTCCTAAAGGGGTCACTGTTTTACAATCTACTACAATAAAATATATGCAAAATAAAGACCCTGGTCACTTAAAAGTTAACACATTACGTAATACCTGAAATTTGTTTCCATCAAAAATAGTGATTTAAGTTTTAGTGCTTAAATACATCATCCAGGAAATCCACTCATCATCCCCCAGATAAATTAGGTATTGCTACATATGCAATTTTAGAGTGTTGCCAAGTTAAGGACATCCTTAATCAGCTTATTTTACAGTAAAGAGCTGTTATAACAGCTTATATGCAAAAAGCTGTAAAGTGTTTAGAAATCATAGGCTAATTGTCCTCTCTGAAAATTCCATCTATTTTATAATGTAACAAATTCATAGCTGTTGAGTTTGTTACTCAACTAACATCAAAATGTGAACAAATTCCAAATTGCTGAAGGCTAAATGAGTTTTTATTACATTTCTCATTAAGAAATAAAGATGGAGGTTAGATTTATAACAGGAATAGTTCTTAAAGGATAAATAACACAATAATTCTTAAAGATAGGTTTCTGATCCTTTTCTCATCTTTCCCCATCTTAGTAAAGAGTACAACCATCTACCCAATTACTCAAGCTAAAAATCTAAGTGTCGGCCGGG